ATGGCTTACGGATTCGGGTCAGCAGTGGCGTCGAATGGACAGACGCCCAAAGTTTCCAGGGAGCCATCTCCGGCCCCCAACGGGCATGCGGCGGGAGACAAGTCGGGCGAGAAGACGAATTTAGTATTTGTTGGGTTCCAAGCTATGCTCGACCCTCCCAGGAAGGGCGTCGCGGACTCTATCAACCTCCTCCAATCCGGTGGTGTGCAAGTGGTGATGATCACAGGCGATGCGGAACCCACTGCGCTCTCGATCGCTCAGAAATTGGGCATGCGCGTAGGGAGGAGCCATAGTGGACAAGGAGGGGGTATTTCCGCCGCGCATTGTTTGACGGGCAAGGCTATAGATCAGATGACCAAGGCGCAGTTGAAGGAGCGGGTAGGGAATGTGACGGTGTTTGCGAGGACGACGCCGAAGCATAAGATGGCGATTGTTGAGGCGTTCCAGGCGAGAGGCAAGGTGGTGGCTATGACTGGTGATGGAGGTATGAGTTTTTGGTTAGATGTAATGGTGGTTTGGTTTAACTGACTCTTCTCCATTTACAGTCAATGATGCACCTGCTCTGAAGATGGCTGATATCGGAATTTCCATGGGCAAGAGCGGCACGGACGTGGCCAAGGAAGCCGCCGATATGATTTTGGTGGATGATAACTTTAGCACGATCTTGCCTGCTGTTGAGGAAGGTTAGTAGGCGTTTCATTTTTTCATTTCTTTGCTTTCATTTACGAATAAGATGCTAATGAGATATGAAATTTTGGGGGTTCATAGGCAAATCAATATTCCATAATATCAACAATTTCTTGGCTTTCCAGCTTAGTACCGCCGCCGCCGCTCTAACGCTTATTACACTCAGCACCTTGTTTGGAATGGAAAACCCTTTGAACGCTATGCAAATCCTGTTTATTAACATTCTGATGGATGGTGCGCATCTTTGTGGTCTTTACGTGCTGCCCGAATCCCATTAATCTCACTTAACTATTGCCTTCCTTCTCCAGGCCCACCTAGTCAATCCCTCGGTGTTGATCCTGTAGATCCAGCTGTTATGCGTCGTCCGCCACGCAAGAAGAATGCGCCAATCATCACCAAGAGATTACTCACACGAGTACTCTTCTCGGCGTCGATCATCGTACTGGGCACGCTTTTTGTGTACGTGACTGGGATCAGGGATGAGGATATGTCGAGAAGGGAACAAACAATGGTGCCGATCTTTCCTATCCACGTTTCAGTTGACTAACGTTTCTTCTGCGCTTGCTTTTTTTTCTTTGCCTTGGGCATTTGGTGTGTACAGACCTTTACATGTTTCGTCGTCCTCGACTTGGTATCTGCTATCCAGAATCGTGGACTAGGATGCACGATATTGCAGAATAGGATGCTGATCACTACGGTGTCGATCTCGTTCATAACACAGCTTGCGCTGGTGTATGTCCCATTCATGCAAAAGATCTTCCAGACGGAGGGACTGAGTATACATGATCTTGGTATTATCCTTGGGTTGGCGGTATGTTCTTTGGGGTTACATGAAGGCAGAAGGTGGTACGAGAGACGGATTGATGCTGATGAAACATATACTGCTGTTATGGAAGAGTTGGCGTAATGTGTTATCGGATGGGGATCAGGCAGCGGTTAACGATATATCTTCTTTATTTTAATGACACAAGGCTACATATACTCCCGTATTTACTATGGCATCTTCGACATTCCACGCACGCACACACCCACCTCTTTTTGTTTTGTTTTTTTATTACCCTTTTATTCCCTTCCATAGGTTACCTAAAATGCGTGGAAGTTGTAGACAGGCTTTTGTATGTGAATATACTCATTGGTTCTTTGGACTTTCGTATTTTTGATACCTCCTGTTCGGTTCACTGGAAGCCCAAAACACTCAGGACATCCTTGGTCGTTGTGACCTTTCCGTAAGCATTCAGCATGCTCATAGCAGCCTCATGGGTTTCCTCTGCACTGACGTTCTTGCCTGTCTGCCAATTTTGCATCCCATAGGTCGAACAGGCATCCCCTACCACCACCATATTGTATCCCAGATCTGCCCCATGTCGTGTGGTGCTGTTAATGCACTGCGCACCGTCCATACCAATCACTACAACCTTCCTATCTTTCCCATATGTGTCAATGGAAGAAGCAAGCTCAGTGGCGACAAATGGACTCCCAACGTGCTTGATGAAGATTTTCTCGTCATCTACTGGCTTGGCGCATGCGTGCGGTTTGAAGGTTTCTGGGTACGCAGCGGAGATGATGTTGGTTGGATCGTCTTTATCGTCGTGTATGACGTGAAGAATCGGCCAGGACCACGAGCGCCAGATTTTAAGGAGGTACTGTACGTTCTTTGCGAGATTGGGGGTTGACCTTGGGCCCCATTCTGCTAGGCCTTCAACCAGACCGTGTTGGATATCGATCAGGAGCAGGATAGGAGCGTTCTCCGGCTGGGAGGGGGTAGTCGACATTTCGATTTCAACTCTAGATTACTAGAGACGACCGTGCATCAAAGTTATTTATATGTGAGAGGAAACGAGCATTTATGCCAAATTTATGCTGATAAGGGGTGTAATAACATCGACGCGTCGTGATCACATGCCGTGACGTTCACGCGTATCGCTGTGCAAATTTCCCAACTTGACTTCTACTCTGAACCATGGCGACTTTACTGCAGTTATGAATTCCTTCAAGATTCCCTTCAATCCTTTCTCTCCTTGTTGTTTAAAGATATTATCGAAAAAGAGGATGCCAGTGAAACCATGTCTTTTTCCGATCTGAGGTTTATCATAGCCTCCGACGTCCTTCTGGCTTGCTTCTTCCCTCTCCTCGTTCTGGTGATTGGGTACAGATATTTCCCGACATTCAGCTTTGCGGAATTACGAGACATCATCTCTCTGCATCCACGCGTAAACCCAGGATATGGTCACTTCTCGCTTCAAAGAGCATATCACTCTTTCGTTCAATACCCCCGCCTTTCAGCAGCTGAATTAAATCAAATGAGGGCTACTTACGCTGCACTAGGACGCGCCAACAAGCATATTGGATACAAAATTAGATACCCTAGAAAATTAGACCGCCTCCGCGACGTCACAGAACTGAACGCAGTGATCACAGATGCTATTGTGGAGTTGGCGCTCGATGAATTCCCATCTCTCCATGACATTCCTACCTCAAGCACAAATTCAACGGACCTCGGACGTGTACGGGAGTCTTTAAAGCATTTTGTCAGAGATTGGAGCGAAGAAGGTTCCCAGGAACGTGCACGTATATTCGCACCCATCCTTGGCGTGTTACAGATGGTGAAAGCGAAGGATAGAGCAAGCATGAAAGTCCTTGTCCCCGGTTGTGGTCTCGGAAGGTTGGCATGGGACATATCACAGCTCGGTAACTTCCATTCTTTTTTTTGCATTGTAGCTCTTTTAACTGAGTTTGTTTGGTATAGGATTTAACACTACAGCAAATGAATTGTCGTTCTTCATGACCTTGGCTTTTCGATTGCTCCTATCGCCCAAGACCACCGCTTCTGTTAATGAGCACACTCTCCATCCTTATGCCCATTGGTTTTCTCATCAGCGTTCCAACGATTCGCTTTTCCGGCCTATATCCTTTCCGGATGTTATACCTCGATTAGGCCCGAGTTTTCGTCTGATCGAAGAAAACTTTATGAAGTTGTCTATTCCATCACCAGAAAGGAATACCCTCTCGTGGTCAAGAGATCACAAATACCTAGATGGTTATGACTACATTATCACGCTCTTCTTCATCGACACATCTCTCGACGTCTTGGCGACGATGGCCCATATCTACAACCTCCTACGTCCTGGAGGAATGTGGATAAACCTAGGCCCACTTCTCTGGGCAGGAGGGGGTCAAGCTAAAATCGAGCTGAGTCTCGAAGAGGTTTTGCAAGCAGCCGAAGAAATAGGATTTATCATTGAAACGGAGGATAGTGGGCCTACTGCTAGGAGAACTGTCGAATGCGAGTATACGGGGGACAAGAAGGCGATGATGCGGTGGATCTACAAAGCAGAGTTCTGGGTCGCGAGGAAATCGAAGTGAGGGTTATCACACGTGATGGCATCTTGCGCCCCTTTGGCTATTGTTATGATGAATGGGCCTTTTTCCCATTGGAGCGCACAAGTATGGCCCCAACATGTATACCCATATCTCAATTACCATTGTTGTCCACAATCATGCGGCATCACATTTCAATCATCTATTTAACGCCCAGCTGACGACTCTCCTGGCAACTCCCCGTCCTGAGCCACTCAACCAACTGCGCACTCAATGCCGTTCCAACAATCTGTTCACCTCTGCGAAAATATCTCTGTGGCCATATTCTATGAAGACCTGGTGGACCGTCCAGACCAAACCACAGACCTGGACAAACTCCTGGCCCATGCCCATACGTCGCGCAAGACGCTCCTTGCGCACTCGAAAGCTGGACGGCGCATAGCCGGAAACAAGCGCGTAGCCAAGTTTCGCGAGAACCAGGGGTATAGTGGGACCGGACAGGTGTTGCAAAGCATCACTGCTTGGCCGGCGCTTCAGTATTCAAGCTTTGAGGTATAGTGCTTTTTTCTCCTTGTCCGTACTGCAATCAACATGTATTTAGGAACTCCGCCTTGAATGCTACCTTCAGACAAAGATTGCTCGAGGCTGCAAGCCTGACCCCGTGGATCCTACTGCAACGCCATGGGCTGTGATTCCACCTGTTTTCAACGCGTATAAGGATGATTCAAAAGATGAGGATGCAGGCGAGGTCGTGATGACGGATTGACAGGAGGCATACGCTATATTGTACCTTGATACTTGACTATACCCCAGTAGAGATTCAGTCAAAATATTGATTAAAATGGAATTTCATGGACTTCTGCAGTTCCACAATTCATTCAGTGCTAAAGCTTTAAATCATTCAAAAAAAAAATGCTAGGCCTTAAGAACACTTTGGACATCTTTCTAGGGTGTCAAAAAAAATACTAGCCCTAGAATTGCTCAATAAAATAAACCGACGCCAGCAAGATTCGAACTTGCGCCCTCAAAGAGGAACAGATCATTACGTAATCCATGACGAGTCACATAGTTTACCATTCTAATCTGTCGCCGTAACCACTTGGCTATGGCGCCTGTTAAACGACTGACACCTCTCTATACTATATAATACATACATTCTCCGTAGGCCTATCGTAACTAGTCCTTTTCACTGACCGAATCTATCGACATGCTACTGTACTTGTAACCGCGATGGTCACATATCCAGTAAATTGAATCTGCTCATAGTGAACTACAGATAACCATGTCGCCGCCGTCCACATCTTCACAGGAGCCAGCGGCCTTTCTGTCAGCGCGACGACTATGAAGACAAGGACACTGGTCAATATACTTGCACGCAATGCCCCCGATCGGGAAGTTGGAAGTCCGGAGTAGAATGGCCCGTCTTTCACTATACTTTCGATTGGCAGACCTTCTATTGCCGACGGTGCTGAAGGCAGATTCCAACCTGGCAGGTGCTGTGCAGGCTAACGATCCTTCTTTCAGATGATCTCACCCTCCATGCTCCCCCCATGCCCGATATTGGATAGAATGGAGAGAAGCGCGTAATTGTTGCGTAATTGCGGAAAGCTGGGATGATCGACCTTGGATACGGTTGAAGGTACTCTTATATTCTTCACGACAAACGGCACTATTTCACATCCTCATTCGGAAGATCGTCATCTGGGGTGGTCAAATCCGTATTCAGACGCCACGAAGAATGACTAGGGGTTATATGGAAGGATTAATGCTAAGTTTCTGTGATTTTCGATTGGCTTGGGGCGGTGGGACTTCGACTTGTATGGGAATTCTCAACTTGCAGATAACCTCTACTCAGAAGCAACATTGAGATTCAAACACCGGCTTTCTGACTTTGGGATCACTAGCGAGTCAAGGGTAGAAACACTGACGGCGAGATCTTTCCAAACACGAGTTTTGGCATTCGCGCAACAAATGCTGGGAGTAGCAATGATGATGATAAGACGATGAAATACTGGCCTGACAGGAGGGTGGGTGAAAAGACGTATGCTATCCGGGAGGAACGATGTCGCTATTTAGTTACACTGGAAGCCAGAGGAATGGCAAGGATTTCTTCTTTCGTGCTAGAGCTGGAAAGTATCTGGGGTATGGTTCAATACAGCGAATAGGAAACGAGCATATTTCAAGCTGATCGAAATAGCTTGACCCCAGATGAAAGATATAGTCGGTTCGTTTCATTACTGGAAGACGTGTGGTTGGCTATTCTGTAGGCATTTTATTGAACACTTGGGATGTAGGAATGCTGGCTGCCAGGTCGAAGAAAGACATCCTTTTAACCGGCGATACCCAGCTGTGGAAATTACATGGCACCCGCTTTGAAATACAGGTGTATTTGCGCCAGGATCGTGGCGGGATTGTACTTGCCAGTCAGGTTTTAGGCTGATACATGACGATTGATGGCCTGGTGTGTCGAACAAATCAAAAACAGAAACGGGATGAGCTTTGTCAATGATGGTGTGATGTTTGTGTGGGGTCTAAGTAAAGGAGAGAGCCATGCGAGCAGATAGAGTATGCCTATCAGAACAAAGAAGTGACCTAAGGCAAATTGTTTAACCACCACGTCCTACAGTTTGCACGAGGATAATAACTCTCTTCATGACACAGCATTCCCTTGGAGCTGTACAGATTGTGCGAGTTAAACGATCACTGATTTCCTCTGGTATAAGAGAGCCAAGTACCTCGACTCTTGTCTAGTCAAGGTTTATGAGTGAGGTTTGTGATATTGTAGGCCTATTTGTAGTGTTGTGACGAAGTTCACTATACTCTGAATTCATGATCAGCGGCATGTCGTCGTGAACCTGAATGTTGCTTCTCTTCATATTTTTCGAGTAAGCTTTACGCGTCGTTTTGCGCATGGAGGCGGAAGAGGGTTAGACACAAAGAATTAGAGATGAGTGAACCTGATATCAGCTGCATACGTACAGCCTACAAAATGCTGAAATTTTCGAAATTCACCCTGGCAAGGTGGCAAGCATCGGGCTTGAATACTGCCTTTGACCCGCCTAGACGTGGAATGTCGAGGTTTGAATGTTGAGTACTGAGTGCGGGTGGCAACGAGTGGTAAGGGTGGTGGTGATAATCTGAAAGTTGAACTGGATGGTAGGGCACAGGCGAAGATGAAGGTGAAGGACGTTGGAGATGGCTTAGCATTCTTAACGCCTTCGGCTCCATCAAGTATGCCCTAGTGTTCTTCGCCAGGCTCCACTTTAATGCGACGGCAGTGATCGTCTCTTTCTGCACATGCAGAAACCAGGCCGTAACAACCAATGATCTGGTGTGCTCAGGCAATGAGTCAAATGCACTTAAACAAGGAGGTAAGCTTTATCAATGTCGGAGGCTGTGATGATGGGGTGCGTTCAAGGAAACACTTATGCCTACCAGAACAGAGAAGTAATGCTACCTTTGTCAGGTCATTTGCGTGTGATGGTCCATAGTAGATTGGACAATAAAGATTGAGAGAATCGGACTAAGATCGTTTCGCCAGTACGAAGCAGAGCATTGAACTTGAATACTGCCTTTGACAAGTAAAACGAGCTTGAATTAGAAAGTTGACAGGGCTAGACTCAGAACGGTTGCCTTGAAGGTCTCCTGATGACATACCACCCCTGACCACCAGCAGATTGTGTCAGCGTACTCTCTCTGCGTTCAAGGCGTCCACCCGACTCTGGGCACCAGTATCTTCGAGATATGCACCAGGCCAAGTGACACAGTAGCTTGCTCTCATGTCCGACTTGTCGCTTACAACGCGGAACTTGGATGCCTTCTCCTTGCGTCCTGTTGCACGAGCCAAACTCATCCTCGGTGGTATCCTCGAGGAAGCCAAACGCCCTGACCTTGTCTTTCTCCAAGAAGTCACGTCCGACGTCCGCTCCTCTATCCTGTGCAATTCGAAGGTCCGCAAAGCCTTCCTGGTGATGGATGCTGAGGATCAAATGCCGTTCCAGGGAGTATACCCTTTGCGAATGTGACGTTGTTGTCCAATAAGTGTTTTGCCTTCGATCTGGAGTCCCAGACGAGGAGGATAGGGTCGAAGGAGGGACAAAGTCCATACCTGGTTCCGTTTCCCGCGTCAAACTCTCTAGCAAGTATGGGTGGCGTGCGCTTTCCGTGGACATTATCCCACCATCACACCAACGACAGCCTGTCATCTCATCAATGCTCATCTCGACTCTCTTGGGAGACACTCCCTTACCGTACCAAGCATATAGAGATCATTGCCAACCTCCTCCGAGAGCCTGGATGCGGTGGACTTCAACGCCATCAGTCCCGAGGAACACGCTCTCCTCGAAAAGAACGAACTGGTAGATGTGTGGCTCGCATAGCACGGAAAGGAAGGGCTTGATGGAGCTACATGGGTTGTAGGAATTAAACGACTCGGACCGCGAGGGTTGGACAAGGTTGCGGTGTTGGGCGTAGAAGCGAAGGAGATGGAAAATTCTGCGCCTCGGGCTGATTGAAGTGCCCAAGCCCAGTGAGGATTCTGACTACATACAGAACATTGACTGCTTGTCAGAAAACTCATCATAATACTGGGTTGCCGAAATGCCGTTACAATGCGGTCAATTGTATACGAATTACTGTTCACATACCCAACACTGGAGTACTTCCACTTGGAAAGGAACATAGCTTTGTTGACTGTACGACTACTAGTATTACTACTATGAAACACTACTACAACTACTAGGTACTATCAGGGTATCGATACGAGGTATCATGGTTTTAGTGAGCTAAAAGACTTGACAAGCGACGGAAAGCTAGGCAATTAGAGATGATACAGAGACAGCGCAACAATTGGGGGATTAATACTTCAGACCGTACTTCGCCCTCGGGAGTACAAGTCGCTTGAGGACATTTTGAGGGCGAAACCTGACGATCGGATTCGGAGAGAGCGACGAGATGAATATTGCAGGCGGCTTGTAGAGTACATATGGTATGAAAAGATTTTGCAGATGCAGTCCGGGGTTATACGAGTGGACAAGGGGGACGCACGTAGGTGATTATCCGCCAATTTGCAACCAGGGAGGCTTCGGACGACGACGTGGATACAGAGTTATAAGGAATGTGCAAGATGAAGAGAGCGGACGGTGGTCAGCGACAGAAGGTCGAATGTCCACCAAAAGAGAATATTCAGACTATAACCACTCCAATAAGATAATGAAGGGCAGAAGAACGAAAACAGAATAAGATTTTAGGGAAACTAGAGGGTAGTAGAAAGAAACGAATCACAAGCATATATATAATAACTGAAAAAGAGAGGAAGAAGAGGAGTGTTATAAAAATGCCACAACCAATAGCCCAAAAGATCCAACCCAGAAACTGTGAAAACACGATACCAAAATGAACGAGGTAAGGGGTGTTTGAGGCGGGATCCCGGAGCCACACGTCTTCCATCCACTTGTGAAGGCTGGAGGAGGGCAGGTGTTTTGATGAATCCGATATATCGCGAGAGGACGAGACCGAAGCAAAGAACGTGACGACACGGCAAACAGGCGGGCACTAGAGAGCTGTTGACAAGGAAAGGAAAAGGAGACAGAGATACGCGACCAGAGATAGGAATATGCACAGGGGAGGAGGGGATACCGGAGGATGACGATGCGCGATGGGCGGAAAAAAGGGGTATCCAAAAATTATCTTCTTTGCACGCAAAACGCAAGAAATGAGAACAGAAATGGGTATGTATCATGGAGGGTGCTTTAAGCAGCAGGGACGCCGTTTGCTTGAAGAGGGGCGTCGATGCCATCCATATGCATCTCCGCAAGTTCGTCATCGCCATTCAAGAAGGCCGCCTCAGCGTCTTCGTTGCCCTCGCCAGCTGCGTTCATCTGTTCTCCAGCGTTTGCAGAGTTGCCACTCGCCAGACGCTTAGCATTTCCTCCTTGAGGACCAGAGCGAGGAGGGTTCGCACACCTGTCCTTGCCATGAGCGACGCGGAGGTTGGCGTACTCTGGCTTGTTCTTGATAGCATCAATAGCCTTGATTGCATTCGAGATGTTGGTGAAGTTCACGAATGCGCAGTTCCTAGAGAACTTATCAGCACTGGATAAAAAAAGCGGGAG